CCCCCACCAAGGCCGCGCGCCCACGGTCAGTGACCCTCCCCCACCAAGGCCGCGCGACCGAGGTCAATGCCCCGCCAAGGCCGCGCGGCCGAGGTCAGTGACCCTCCCCCCACCAAGGCCGCGCGGCCGAGGTCAGTGCCCCGCCAAGGCCGCGCGGCGGAGGTCAGTGACATTACTGTAGTATGTATATAGTCGCTGCAAATAAAAGATGTCATTTTTTAATTATACGTCATCATATAATAACTAATTTATTAACTCAAGTGTAAACTCAACAATTTAAATGCCTTTTTTAATATAAGAAGATGGCTGCTCTTAGTTTTCTCCGTTTTTTTTCTGGTATTATTGATTCGGTTTTGTTCTGTGCTATGTGCACTTCGACGCACGCGCGTCGATTCGATACTTCGATTATCGAAGTATCGCGCATTTCGATATATCGAATAGCGAGCAGTTATGGCGAACGCGCGACGCGAAGCGGAACTACATTCGACTTGCTCTTGTATTTTTCGCGATTATTATCGTCTTGTGCGCGAATATCAGTCGTCATAAAATGTCGAGTGTTTGTGATACGCAATTAATATCGCGCACTCGCTAGTAGTCGTAATTTACTTTATAAATTTTATTTTACTTTTTAATTACAAATATTACATGTACATATAAATTATATATACACATATATACATATTATTTTCTTTATATCAAAGAAGTATATAAATAATTTCAATTAAAACAAATAGGTTTTTGTATTTTATAAGTTTTAATAATTTACAATTATATTTGAAATATTTAATTGTTACATATTTACATGTTTAAATTGGTACGTATTAAAAGCAAATATGTATTTTTACACTTTCTCGTAAGAATTAAATTTGATGAAAAAGTTAAACAAGTATTGTTTTATATTGTTATTACTTCTTGAAATCAAAAGATATATCTATCGGTGATAAGAGGAAAACGTGTTTTATTACACAGAATCGACAAAAAGATATTTACCAAGTTGATTGATTTAATTTACATTTATAAGATGTAAAAGGAAGCATTTGATTTGTTTTTCGATTAACGCTTTCCAAACTGCTAGTACGTACATGGAGGTAGTGCTGGCTATTTAAACGCCGCGTTCTACATTTCACTTCCTTCGTAACATATTTAAAGTCTACCTAGTTCGCTACGCATACATAATTCTACATCCTCACTCTTAATTCACTCGCTTCGATCGTTCGACACCAACACTAAGCTAGTGCGCGCACATCAAACAGATATCTCTATACTCTCACATACACGACGCTCCAGAAGTTTGCGACTAAAGATGAGTGCGAAGTAGAGTTTAAATTATCATCAACAGAGTCTAAAAGTTATTTCAGTTATCTAAATTGTCTGTAATATTATATTAACGTACTTCTTGAGAAAAATTAACTAATAATACTGGCAATGACGTTTCATTTTTTACTTCGATTACTTATTCAGTTATTTTTATCTGCTGTTCATTAAAGTGACAAATGAATTGATAAAAATAATATAGACTCGTCTGATTTCTATCTGAAATGTCGCGCAGTTACGCTGATGTTCAAAACAAGCTGTATGAGAGTTGTAGTAGTTGCGAGAAATTACACGCAAAATACAAAAGGCTACTGTCGAACTGAAACGTCTTATCGGCTTGCGTTATATAAACGTTAATGTAGTAGAACCACAGTGACAGTCTGCTGATTCAGTGCGTGAATCCAACCTGCGTTTTACGCAGTGTCGGCCGCTTGTGGTGATAAATGTCGTCGACGATACTGTCTTCTGAAGATAACGAAGAGTAAGTACAGATTACACGCTTTGATTAAGAGACGTTCGATTGCGAGCAATTTTTGTAATTTAAATTGTTTGCTTTTCTTTTTCTAAATGGTAAAACACTTTGAAATTGTGGAACTCTTAGTCGAGGAGTAAAATTATCATACAAGAACTTGTATAAATTTTAAAGGCTCGCGACAACATCTTGTAGCTAATTCGTAATGTGTAGTATTTTATTTCGCGATCAATATGCACTCTCGTTGTTTAAAAATAATCAAAAGAAAATACATTGCGCAAGTATCACAGTTTTAGTCTGTTGTTATGACGAACTCACGAGAACCACGACGAATTAGAGTACTTTACTTAATTGCAGAAGAGAGGGGAGTGGCCCATATCTGTCCTAGAAAACTCAGGGTTATGTTTTATCACGGAGGAGTGACGGCCACTGATTAATGGCATCATTGTTCGAATAATTTGCAAAAAAGTTATGATTTTTTTGTTCGCTTACATATTAATTTTAAATTACAAACTGTAAGTAGGTCATTGTGTTACCACGGTATTATTCACCATACATTCGCATCAACTTCGTGTTCCTAACGTTTAAGTAATAACATTTAAATAAATACACAGCATACTATCTTTCATAATATACATAGTTATCGCAAAATATCTGTTATCTTCATAAAAAATATATAAAAAAAAAAAAAAAAATATGTTTATTAAAAATTAACACATCACGCACGTAATATTCTTATTTAGCAATAAGAATCAGTTTGATTATTTTTACGATTATTGCGCAAATAAGGATGTTTGTTCTGATAGCACTTTCACGTAAAAAGTAACAACGAGCACCAATTAAACTCATTCGAGCACTGAACGCGCGTTATGTAAGAGCTAAAGTTAGTAAACGGTTATGGCATTTCGTGAATTGTTCAGGCTGGGAGAGAGATAACTGTTATGTTATGAAGCGTTGGCGTGGTTCGTTAAGCCAGTTAGTGTCAGAAACCCTGAAGTAAACACGTTTCAAAAATTAAACAAAGGAAACGAGTTAAAAATCATATCAATTGCTAAATTAAATATCAAATTCTCAAACGTTAACGACAATCTCTTCTTTTAATTTCAGAAATGACACAGAGACGTTGGTGTCGTTTGTCAACCATTCAGATGATAACTTGCCTGACATTTCCGAGGAACCAAGCGCGTTGTCAATTGAGTGAGTAATAATCTATTAGTTCAACGATAACAATTTTCAATTTTTATTAGCATTCAATTTTTATTAGCATTTGACTCTCGCTCGCGAAATACTAAACCATGTATAATGTTATGATAAGATAGTGACCGTTTTGCTGATTTGTATATTAAAGACAGAAAGAGAGAGAGAGAGAGAAAGTACGATTTTACACGAATTCAAGGTGATCATCGTCAAAAAATATCTTGAGCCTCCATTATCAGAATTTTAAAGTTTTTTGTAGTCTCTCATAGTAGTTTTTAACAAATTTCGTACTGATAACATGATAAGAATCAAAATTAAACATATATTACTTAACTACTTGTTAACCAAAAGAATTGTGTCGTACTTATTAGTTTAAAAAACTCAGAAGAAGAAAAATCGCGCCGTTCAATTTGTACGAAATATATTCACGGAACAGCAAATTAATTTTTATCACCGTATAAATATTGCTTTATCGTTCAAAAAGATAAGCGTATATATGTCCGAAAGCAAAATTACGAACGCGGCAGAAATGGAAAGCCGTTGGATGGCTTCTCCTATATCGAAAGGACTCGTGCCGGCATTTACATGCACGTTTGTTACGAGCAACTTTCACTGATAACGAGAACGCGCGCTACCGGAAGCGATGCTTCCGAACTTTTTTAGGCTCGCGGGCGGCTCACTCACGATATGTCGTCAGTTCTCTCGTGATCGTCGGAATCGTCCGACATTTTTTAGCGCGGCTGCACATTTCGCGAAGACATTGGCAACTTTAATAGCGTGCAGATAAAGTGCGATAGTCAGCATTGTGCGATAAAGCAAAGGTGAGTTGCGCAGTATAAATAAACTGTTTTAATAGTCTCTGACAATGTGGCACGATGCATACCTCGCGTATAATTCGAGCGTTTGCTACGCGCAAAACAAATCTTGAAAAAAAAGTGAAGCAAAATATGGACAATTTGAAATTATTGAAGCGTGAAATAAAAAGACACGATATAATTTGTTTAAATATTTTAAATTTGATAAGAAATCAAAAATATCTGTATAATGACAAAATGTATTTAGAAGAGCAATTAATAAAAAAAAAATAATTTAATACTAACATAATAAAATAATTAAATACTATTAAAAAATTTTATATATATAAAATAATTTATTACTAAAGTAAATAAGACAATATTACTCAAGAGAATCTGTGAGTTTTTAATATAAAACACATATCGAAAAAGTGTTTACGATCAAGTAAAAGCTAAGACCGTTTCGGTCTTATCTCTTCACTATCGCGTTTATCGATCTGCATACGTACAGCACGCGATACATATCTCAGTTATGTATCAAGTGGTGGTATATACGCATACTAGCGAATGAAGTGCAACGGTCCATATACATACCAGCTGACCCGGTTGAAGTGTCATCAGTGTCACGGTAACAACTAGGCCACCGCGTGTTCACGCGATCCGCTCGACAATTCCGACGGTTCATTATCGCCTTCTCCCTAAATTCCTGGCGAACATCTCCGTGTATCTACCGTTTACCTTCGTACAGTTACTTGAACTCACTCCTATTCCGGAAGAGAGGCTCATGGGACATTCTCCGTAATTGTCTCATTTCTCACGACGAAGAGATTCTCCGGAGATCCCGACACTTTTCGGAATGCGATATTGCGCAGTT